GCGGCCGGGGTGGCTCCTGCAGGCTGCCGCGGGAGCGAGCCTGCTCTGGGGGGTCGCAGCCTACACATCTCCTTCCGGCCCTGGGGCCAGCGGGTCCCTGCGCGCAGAGCTCATCCCCAGCCAGCTCGGGTCAGGCGCCGCGGGGTTGCAGCTCTCTTTTCCAAATCCCAGGGGTCTGACCGGGTGCCAGCGCCGGTGGGTGTGGGGGCTGCCCCATCGGCACCAGGGAGGGGGCCAAGTGAGTCAGTCCGCCCACCCCCAACAGCCAAGGGCTCAAGGCTGCTGCTCTGTCTCCCTCTGTGAAGTGCTGCCACCCAGAAGGCCCCAAGCAGTGGGTAAAGGGGTGGGTGGGTGGATTTGGGGAGATGGGGAGGGGGAGCGATCTGAGCCACACAACCAGAGCCTGAATACCAGCTGACACATCGCCGCCTCCACCCTGATGGGCCCTGCTTTTGAAGGAGCCAAGCCAGCTCCGGAGGGAGTGCGGAGTAGGGGGGCAGGAGGGGCCTCACTCCCTGGCAAGCCTGGGAGGAGGGTGTGGGAGGACTCCTGCAGGGGCCAGGGCAGAGGCCAGGGAGTTGACATCACTGGACAGCCCTGGGCTCTTCAACCCCCTGGAGGTTTCCTTCCCGGCTGCCTCCCAGGCCTGTGGGGACAGGTTCCTCCATCTTGCAGGGGGACATGTGGTTTTCAGGTCCTCCTGGCCTTCCTCGGGGTGGGTTCTGACTGCAGGGCTGAAGCAGCCAGCATTGCCATTTGGATGCATCAAAAACAAAGAGCCTGAGGACAGACAGAGAGGGAGAGAGGGACTGGCCCAAGGTCACAGAGGGTGTCAGGAATAGGAGCCAGAGGTGGTACCTGAGGGCTCCACCCCTCTGCCACCTCTTACCTTCACCTTAACCCTTCCCTGCTCTTAGTTCTCCCTACCCTTGGAGAGAGGGCTGTGCTGCCAAGTAACATGGAGACCATTGTCACAGAACAGGCAGAGGATGCAGAATTAAAGACTGTCATCTGCTTTAATAATAATAATAATTTAACATTTATCGAATACCTGTTTTGTGCCAGGACCCATGCAAACCAGTTTATGTGTATTAGCCACTGATTCTTCCCAACGACCTGTGACTTAACTCCTATTGGTAAAGTCCCAGATGTTAATCAACTTGCCCAAGGTCACACAGCTGAGGACGACTCCGGCCAGGCAGGAAGGGCTCTCAGGCTCCAGGTGGTGCTCTGACACCCCCTGACTTACTGGGTAACTTGGGGCACGACATTGCTTCTGGGCCTCAGTTTCCCCATCTGTGAGATGTGAATGGTGAGTCTTTCCTTCTCCAAGGAGCAGGCAAAACAAGGCCCTCGAGTGCCTCCTCCTGCAACTGCTTTCAAATCCCTCCCACTGGACAGCCCCTCACCCCGCCAAAGCTGTCCAGATGCCCGCCAGCCCCTGCTTACCTGCTGCCTGGACTCAAAGCGTCCAGCAGGAGGAAACTCTTGCAGGAGGAGAACACATTTCAGCAATTTGATTTTTAAGCATTTGGCCTGCAGGCAGCAGTGAAGGGCACAGTGTGGGGCTCCCACGCAGGCAGGGTGAGTGATGACCGGGATCGGCCCTCAGCCTGCCGTCACCCCCAGGCAGGGTCATCAATTCCTGGGAAACGCCCTGCTCCTCCATCATCACCGAGACTGGATGCTGTCAGGGCAGCCAACAGGACATAGAGGAGGATGTTTCTTATTTGTGGTTTGCCTAAACACAGTGGAGGGGCTGGGGCGTTCTGTTATTTCCCAGATGGTTTAATTGACCCATGTGCAAAGCTCTGTGCCTTGGGAAACAATGTTTAAGTCACCTCTGCCGCCCTCCTCTCCCCAGTACTCCCTGCCTCTCCAACAAGCTGATGCCAAGAGGCTTTTTCAGGGACCTAATCCTGAACCTGTCTTCTGGTCCCCCCATAATCTCGAAATTATAGGATCGTGGAAAGAGCGCTGACCCGAGAATCAGGATAATGGGCTTTTCTTGGCTCAGCCCTGAACTAGCTACGTGATCTGGGGTGGTCACTTCCCCACTCGGAACCTCAGTTCCTCCATCTGCATGATGAGTGCGTTTACCCCGGAGTGTGGTCCCTGTGCAGTGGTCCCGAGTTGACAGCAGACCTTGGCAGTCTCCAGGAGCCAGCATTCCTTTCCAGTGACAAATAAAGTGCTTATCTTCCAAGATGGGAAACAAATAAGATTCCAGCCATGTAGGGACCAGGTGGTCAAGGGATGCTCATTTTTAAACTTCATTAAAGTATCTCATGACAAATGACCTCTCTGCAGGGATGAAAAGAAGCTGACTACCGGGGGCAGGAGAGAGCTAATGAATACCCCCCAATAATTGCTGGGTCCCCCTCACAGCAGCCTAATCGTCCTCCTCATTGGGGGGATTTTGGCTTCACTGCACAGTGTTAATTTGAATTGTGTATGTGGAATCTACTATCAAAAAACATCTGCAGAAGAATGCATTTAATTTTATTCCATCTATGTTTTCTTAAACAAAGGAGATTACATACAGAGAAAGGTATATACATATCTCTACACACACACACACACACACACACACACACGTATTTATATGTAAAATAAAGACACCAAAGTATGAGCAGGGGAGATGGGGGAATGACTTGCTTTATTACATACATATTCTTTGTCTGTTGCTTGACTCCTTTACAGTGAGGAATATGCGTGGATGGGATAGACGGGTAACAGGAAATTACAAAGTCGCACTCCAAAATGCTCCACCAGCTTTGCAATGCGAGGTAATGCAATGAGGTCCAGCCCCTCTGGGGATTTCCAAGAGAAGGCAAATCCCAATGCAGGCAGACTAAAGGATGGGCAGATAAAATTAGCTCACACCACTGATTAAAGTCAAGTGTAAGCTCAAAAGCCACCCCCACCACGTTCCCACCCTCTTGGTTCACTCTGTGCTCGGTTATGCCAGACAAGATTTGGATTTGTTCCCTTGACCTTGAGCAGTTGAGATACGCTGTAAGTAGATGGTAAGAGCCTGGGAACCAGCCCAGGACCATCTAAGGGTTTGCAGGCATCCCTGGGCCCCGTACTTCCACAGGAGGAGAGAGACTGAGACCCAGGCCCAGGGCATCCCCCAAGGTGACACCTCCAGGCAGTGGCAGAAACTGTAAGAAGCTTCCCAGCTCCTCCCTGCCAGTTCTCCGCTCTAATCTCCAGACCACACTCCCATTAATTATTATTACTGTATTAATCATACATGTGATTAATTCAGTAATGGTGATTCATAATTGATTGCATTTTATATGGTGCCTTTCATCCGCACATCTCCCAAGATGTGCGCTGCCTACAACAAGAGACACATAAAGCAAAACGTGTTCTTTGCTCACCTGCATTTTGTTGGATAAACTTCTCTTTGCAGAGGCAAGGGGCTAATGGATTTGGGGCCGTCTGGGCTTGCCAGCCCCAGTTCCATGCCCGTCTCCTTGGGTAACGCAGCTCAGGTGGCACCTACCCAGCTGGGGGCCCCTGCTGTGCCCTGCCTTGCCTCTTGGGAGCCACGCCCCAGGAACAACCCTGCAGACCACATTCCCTTGGCTGCCTGGGCCCTGGGCTGCAAGGCAAGGCCAGCCTGGGCTCTGCAGGGAGGCGGGGCTACAAGTGGCATTGGATAAGGGATCTAGAGCTTGACTCTTCTGGCATGAGTCCTACCTCACCTGTTAATTAGCTGTGTGACCTTGAGTAAGCTACGGTCCCTCTCTGCCTCAGTTTACTCGAGTGAAAAATAGGACTAATAAAAAGTCTCTCTCTTCCTAGGGGAATGTAAAATTTACATGCAAGGATGCTATAGAGCACTTAGAAGCTGGCACAGAGTATGTGTTCAGTAAATGTGAGCAGTAACTGTGTGAGTCGTAAGCCTGGTTCCAGCAGCAGCTGCTCTGTGACTGGGCTAACCTCTTCCCTTCTCTGGGCCTCGATTTTCTCAGCTGTAAAATGGGATGCTGGGTCAACTTCAAGGGTTCCGTTCAGAT